TACTACATGTACTGATACTAGAAGGACTGCTTCATACCTTGATCTTTTCCTCAATATTGACACAGATGGACGACTTCACACGAAAATCTATGATAACGGGACGATTTCAACTTCCCAATTATCAATTTCCCATTTCTCATAGCGAACATACCCTCTGCCCCTTCGTATGGTGTTTACATATCTCAGTTGATACGTTATGCTCGTGCATGTTCACACTATACGGACTTCATATACAGGAGTGTGCTCCTAACGCAGAAACTGCTCCAACAAAGTTATGAGGAGGACAGATTAAAAATGACACTCCGTAAATTTTACGGACACCATCACGAATTGGTCGATCCATACGATGTGTCTTTGTCCAAACTAACTAAAGACATTTTTACCACGTGTTAGATTGTGGTTTTACATTACGTCGTCTGATCTTTTAATTACCGAACGTGACTTATTCCCGATTGTGACTGTTTTGCTGAGTGTGAATTCGCATTGCTATAAGACGTGTCACGGTACTTTTCTATCCAAAATTCATGTATTTAGTTTTGATGTTATATTTGTTATTCTCATCGGATTTTGTCAAATGTCTTATCGTTTGTAGTTGTAAATCTTATTTTGTTCTGTTGTATTCGTGTGTTATGGTTAAGATAATTAATCACCCAGTTCATTAATTAGATTTTAGTTTGGGTCAACTAAATTTATACGATATATTTGGTTTACAGTTTGATTTAGAAGAAACACCTACATAGCTAGATAATACTATTAATTATCTGATTACTACCACATTTTATATTAATTAGTATTGTAATTTTCATTGTTATCAATAAATGTTATATGAGTATTGTCCAAATCTTCAATTCTATCCTAATTCTATGCTATTTTGGGGAAATTTCAGAAATTCAAATGTGACGTCACTTTTTTTGCATTGATCTCTTTGGCTAATTCGGCTGTGAATTTTTATGTGCTGGTTTATGTTGTTTTATGTATCCGTTTTTATTCTGTAGTTAGTCACCACTTCGGTGTTATCATGTATATCTATTATATAGTCATTTTTATAAATTTACTGTTTGCAAAAGTATGAATTATTCTAAATACTAAGGATTTTCTTATCCCAGACATATAACCGTAGCCGTATTTGGCACAACTTTTTTGAACTTTTGGTCCGCAATGCTCTTCAACTTTGTACTTGTTTTGGCTTTCGTACTTTTTTTATCTGAGCGTCACTGGTTAGTCTTGTGTGGACGAAACGCGCGTCTTGCGTATTAAATTTTAAACCTGGTACCTTTTGTTAGCTTTTAATTGTATATATGTTTCTCTGTCCTATATGTTCTCCCATTTATTTGTATTGTAGTCCTGTCATGTAATGTTGTCATTTTAATGTTATATTTAACATTGTCATAAAAGCGGGAGGTTTGGCTAGCCACAAAACCAGGTTCAACCCACCTTTTTTTTCTTAAAATGTCCTGTTCCATGTCAGGAAAATGGCCATTGTTATATTATAGTTCGTTTCTGTGTGTGTTACATTTTAATGTTGTGTTTCTGTTGTGTCGTAGTTCTCCTCTAATATTTGATGTGTTTCCCTCAGTTTTAGTTTGTAACCCGGATTTGTTTTTTTTCTCAATCGATTTATGAATTTCGAACAGCGGTATACTACTGTCGCCTTTATTTAATAATGAACCAATCAAAAGAGAAATGTCAGTTAGAAGCACAGCTAACAGTAAAGTTTCTCCAAAGTTAAGGATTTCTACAGAAAGAAATCAGTTTTAGTCCCATCTCAACAAATGCTTTTTCCTGGATTTTTAGTGAACTCGGTAGATATGAGTTTGTCCATTCCAACCCCAAAAATACAAAAAAATACAAAAATTGTGCAAGGAAGTCAAAAGATTCAGAAAATAAAGAGAACAAAACTATCAGAATTAATAGGAGATCTGACGGCTTCAATTCTAGCAATTTTTGCAGCTCCACTTCATTACAGACATTTACAGGTAGAAAAAAATCTAGAGCTGAAGTAGACTTTCAGTTACAAATCCGAACTGTTCCTGTCTCAAAAAGCGCACAACGGATTAAACTGGTGATTACACCAGTTAATTCATTGGAATGGAAGGTCTGTAATTTCAATCCAACCATCTGTAGTAATCCAAACAGATGCAAGCAATTAGGGATCGTGATCAGTAATGAGCAAAGTAACCATAGGGGGTCCTTGGTTACAATCAGAAAGAAATGTCCATATAACTATGGAGCAAATAGCAGTAACTCGTGCTGTCAAATATTTCTTAAAAGACAGACACAATTTACAGGTGTTGATTCAGACGGACAACATAACATGAAGGGATAATTTCAACTTCACCATTTGGAATTCTTGGTTAAATAGCTTCCTTGTGAGCAGCAAAAGAGGGGCGAAAGATACCAGAGGGACATTAAAACACATTGATCGAAAATAAACTGACAACGCCATGACCAATAAAGAAAAGACAAATAGACACATAATACTACAAGTGACACAACATAGAAAAACTAAAGACTAAGCAACACAGCAACACAGCAACCATCTATCAAGAAAATCATGATATGAAATACAAGCCCGGGAATATCGTATCAATTAGGAGATATATATATACTCCGTATGCAGGCGCTGCTGGAATGTTGCTACATAGAAATGGAAAGTTTACAACTGCAACATAGATCATTTTGAAGATCGTCCCAACACTCAACTTCAAGCATACATAAGCTGTCTTCCGGATCCAGGAGCATTAGCGTTCAATGCTCTCCTGTATCCTTAGACAAGTTTCAAAGCTTATGCTTTCTCCCCTTTCTGCTTGATAGCTCAATGTCTGAAGAAAATCAAAGCTGATAAAACAACTGTTGTTTTGGTAACTCCTGCTTGGATTGCACAGACATGGTACGCAATATTGCTGGAAATGTCCTTTCAACACCCTATTCTGTTGCCAACATTTCCACGTCTCCTACAGTCTCATCAAGGGGAACCTCATCCAATGATTCAAAACAAATCACTTCAACTAGTCGGGTGGCTTGTCTCAGGAGATCATATCAAACAATATCAATATCAGAGGAGGTTAAACAACTTTTGCTCAGCTACTGGGGAAAGAGAACTCAGAAATCTTACAATTCGGCCTGGAATAAGTGGGTTAGCTGGTGAGTGGAACGGGTAGTTTATCCCTTTTCAGCACCTCTAACTATTGTTCTAGATTTTTTGGCATGGAAGTTCCAAAAGGGTTTTCAATACAGAACAGTTTTAAAATGTTCATAAGTCTCCTTTATTCTCTATTCTTCCTCATATTGATGGTCAAACAGTGGGACAGAAAAAAATATTAAAAAAATTAATGAAGGGCATTTTACGGAAAAAATCCACCTTTACGTAAGAATCAAGAAATGTGGGACATTGATATTGTTTTGGAAGTTTCTCATTTCTCAGTCTGTTAACTTGGATTTGGACATTAAAATATTAACCAAAACATTGATGCTTCGAAAAGATCTTCTGAAATTGCTAGACTTGATATAAGATTTATGCAAATAAAGAATGAAGGGACTAAATTTCAGATCCCAGATAGATCATAAACTCAATCTGTCTGTATTTCAAAAGAAATATGTTATCCTGAATTTCAGAACGATCTTAAAATAAGTGTGGTTGATTGTTTACAAGCTAATTAAACCGTTCTCTACATTTTAGATTGAAGGATTAGTCTAAGTCAAATCCAGTATTAAGAACTTCAGTTAAACCACACAAAGGTGCATCATCAAATACTGTAACTGGTATTGATACAGCTAAGTTTAAGGCTCATTCAACTAGAGGGTCCTAAAGTAGTAAGGCAAAATGTCAAGGAGTTCTCTATCAGAGATTTTGAAAATAGCTGATTGGTCAAATGCTTTAACGTTTAAAAAATTCTGTTTCAGACCATTGCTAGATGATAGTGATCAGTTCTCAAAGAAAGTTTTGAGTTTACCTTCAGGTATGTTAGTAATTATTATTAACGCTTTGAACGTGCAATGGTATATGAATTTTTCTGACGTATAATTGTAGATTTCATGAGGACGCGAATCGTCCGATATGAAATATAGATTATACGAAGAAAATAATTAAGATATAACATTACAATTTCCCTCCCACTCAATACCTAAGGATTATATTTTATGTGGGTTAGTACAAAGAGTCAATGTACCAGAGAATAATCATATTTAGATATTATATATACAAAAAAGGTATCACACACAAAATCAAGATCTTAATATTTTGTTTTTTGTTATTATAGTATCATGTTATTTAATTAAGTTTATAATATTCTATAGTAATGAAAACATAACAATTGAATTGATAATATAAATTAAGAAGAACAGGTTTCTTATCATAAAACTTTATTTTCAGATCAATCATTCATGAAGTCCTAACAGTCCGAAAGGCTGTGATGATTTGTTTTTGAACTGTAACTTTATCGTTTTATTCATAAAATACCGTGAAAGAAACACTGTGTTTTCTTCTTGTAAGCAGAAACTTTTATAGATTCTAAAGATAGACATGTTGAAGTTTTGGAATCTGTCCAGATTTGTAATATGTTATATATATATATATATATATCCTGTTGACCAATTAAATGGTGAAATGGTATTCTTATTATTAATCATATATAAAATGGAAATTTATACCAGCAATGGCAGCAAAATTATTACATTTCTTTTTTCAATAAGGTTTGTTGTTTTGGTACATGTATGCAGTTTGATGAGTATAAAGAAGATACTTATACTAAAGAAGCGATTATTCAAGTGTGTTTATATAATACAAAGGTGAGCTGTACTTAACTGAGTGGTTTTACTTTAAACTGCTCGATTACAGTTCATAAATGAAGGCAATTACAATGTTATATCTTAATCATTTTCTTCGTATAGTTTATATTTTACTGCTGATATTGTACCTCATTAATTTGCATATAACGGCCATATAATAACACTACTTGTGTAAAAATTATTTTAAGTGCACATTTTATTGGTGTTGAGAGATGAACTAATAGAAAAGAAGCCCTGTTTATTAACTGGCTCTTTTTTTTAATGTCACAGGTATAATGAGACAACGATGTACAGCGATTCTTAAGAATCTTTTACTGTTTGTGTTGTAATTGCATATTCAAAGTATTTCTTTACAACGGTCTTGGTGCATGAAGACCTTCTACATTCAATGTCAAAAATGGTTCATGATTAACGCCAGCTGGTGCCCAGTCTCCAAGTCCTGTCTGTGTCAAGGTCATCCGATGGCGAAGTCGTCTTGTTACAGTGTAGGGTGCTGTTCTTTCCAACTGTGTTAAAATCATTATAACTTGTCTGTAAAAATACATATATAAAATGTTCTTGAGTACTGTTAAACAGTTGTCCATATGGAGTTATTCCTAAATCAGCAGAATAAGTCCATCCGACTTGCATTCACTATGCTATAAACATTATTTATGATGTTCTTATACTCATAGTAAACCAAGTTGAATTATAAACAAGCATGTCTAAAGCATGGAGACTGTAGTCAGCTGTTGTTGATTGCCGTCTGCTTTTGGTTTCTTTAATGTAAGTAATTAAATCAGGCAATTAGTTTTCTCTTTAAAATTCATTTCCATTTTGTCTTTGATTGCCTTATATTATTTGCTGATAGCAGTCAATTAGAACATTTTAAAATATTATTTTTCTATACATATTATTACCAATGTTGACTTAAAGTTCGCTGTATGTACACATCTGTTTGTATTTCAGTTCCTGTGCATACCTAGGATTAGTTAGTTCATTGCTGCTTGTGTAACATAAAGAATGAATTAATTTAGTAATATATTGCTTTTAAGATATGTATTTGGCTAAACGCTTCGAAATATTTTTTCTAATGCTCTTAAACTTTCCATTTTATTTGGCCTTCCAACTGTTTTCAAGTGCCACCTATGTAGACTAAAATCAGTTAAAGATATTTGTCATGCATATCCAACTTAATTATGGTTATTTTCAAAAAGTGTCCCATGGAGCACATCATTATAAAATTGTCTTGGTAGGGGGTAAAGCTGCATTTTTTGTTATACAAAGTACATCATTAAATCAGTCGGTCGTACCCCAACTTTTATGGGCGTTCTTCCTCCCAGGAGACTCTTTTTTTCCGGAATAGCCATAACAAGACTTGATTATGAGAATGAAAAAGGTATAATAACAAAAGAATCCTACTATTTATTTGTCTTTTCTAGCCTACCTATGAAGTGGAGGTATAGAATCTACAGATGTCAGGTTGCCTCTGGTTGATACAATATTTAAACTCTCTTTACAGTCACACTGCACGTGTATAGATTTGTCAGGGGATCGATTCTCCACTACATACATACCACCTGACCAACCCAGCATCAAGGAATACACTGTCACTGATTCTCGAATCTATGAGATACAGTATTATTATTGAATTGATAAATTATCTCTGTGTACTAAAGACTAATTTTTGGTCTTTTGTGTCATTTGTTTGCTGTTTCAATGACTATTCTCCACATATCCTTGAATACTTGACAGAAATAATACTTGACTCGATTCAAATGAATCTTTAGCGTTTTCGTAAATATCAATGATGAAGATGTGTTAAACATCTGGCCATCATTAGTTTCCACATTTAATATTGAAGAAATACTAATGTTAGAAGAATGTTGATAATTTATTTATAAATTCTATAATTGCAGAAAGCTAAGACTGCAATTTGACCATGCCAAATTATTTTTTTCCAGAAACATGTTTTACTCACTTAAACTTATGTAAATATCAGAACATTCTAAATCATTTCTTCATTTTAATATTATCATTATTTTTCTTTTTGCATGTATTCTAGATTCTCTCTGCTCCTTTTTCTGAGAATTTTTGGTACAATGTTGCTTGATCATAAGATAAAGGAGAAGGTATGCCAATTTTTAGGTCCCTTGAATAAGTAAATCAAAATATTTTATGATTCTACCAAATTACTCTATGCTCTTCAACTTCGTAGTTTATTTGGCCGTTTTAACTTCTTTTTATTCAAGCGTCACTGATGAATCTTTTGTAAACGAAACGCGCGTCTGACGCAAGTGCAGAATTTCAGTCCTGGTATTTATGATGAGTTTATTAACAACCACTGGGTCGATGTCACTGCTGGTGGAGTTTTGATTCCCTGAGGGTTTCACCAGTCCAGGTAGTCAGCACTTTTGTGTTGACTTGAATTATCATTGATATGGTCATAATTATAAATTAACTGTTAACAAAACTTTGAATTTTTGAAATACTAAGGCTTTTCTAGCTCAGGAATAGATTACCTAGCTGTATTTGGCAAAACGTTTTGGAATTTTTGGTCCTCTATGCTCTTCAACTTCGTTGTTTATTTGGACTTTTTAACTTTTTTTTATTCGAGCGTTACTGATGACTTCTTTGTAGACGAAACGCGTGTCTGGCGCAAGTGCAGAATTACAATCCTGGTATTTATGGTGAGTTTATTTACATCCATCAGCCAGGTGTTATTTAAACATAAGATATCAGTTATTATATATTTCAATTTCATATTACATATTTGTATAAGACATTCTAACGCCTTGCATATAATTGTGAAAAATAGCTTATATTTGATATCTCATAAAGCTAGTTTAATCAAGATATGTTTTTCAGAGATATTAATGTGTGTTATTTTGTTGTTGTTGTCATCAATTAAATATTTTTACATTTTTTTCTAATTCTTTTTTTTTTCAGTATACTTTCAGATGTCATTACTACTTACCCCTTCTCTCTGTCCTTTACAAATAAGCAGTTGATATATGGCATCAGCTAATGCATATTCATATTTCCTTGTCTTTGTAAAAACTTCCTCTATCATTAAGGCTTTTAAACTGTTTATTGACATCACATAATTACATCTCTGGACTGGAGGTTTGGTAACTGCTCAAACAAATAACAATATTCCTTTATCCTGCACTTCAAAGTATTATTAAAATAAAACTCTTTGTATACTGTTGTTACATTTATCTTGTAGGAGTACTTGATATTTAGAAAATATCAATGATAACTAATGTCAACACAGAAGTGCTGACTACTGGACTGGTGATACCCTCGGGGAATAAAAACTCCACCAGCATTGGCTTCCACCCAGTGGTTGTCAATAAACTCATCATAGATACAAAAATAAAGTACGAAGTTGAAGAGCATTGAGGACCAAAAGTTCCTAAAAGTTTTGCCAAATACAGCTAATATAATCTATTCCTGAGGTAGAAAAGCCTTAGTATTTCAAAAATTCAAAGTTTTGTAAACATTTAATTTATAATATTGATCATATCAATGATAATTCATGTCAACACATAAGTGCTGACTACTGGGCTGGTGATACCCTCGGGGAATAAAAACTCCACCAGCAGTGACATCGACCCAGTGGTTTTAATTAAACTCATCATAGATACCAGAATTGAAATTTTGTATTTACGCCAGACGCGCGTTTCGTCTACAAAAGACTCATCAGTGACGCTGGAATCAAAAAGAGTTAAAAAGGCCAAATAAGGTACGAAGTTGAAGAGCATTGGGGACCAAAAATTCCAAAAGGTTTTGCCAAATACAGCTAAGGTAATCTATTTCTGAGATAGAAAAGCCTTAGTAGTTCAAAAATTCAAAGTTTTGTTAACAGTTAATTTATAATTATGACCGTATCAATGATAATGTATGTCAACACAGAGGTGCTGACTACTGGGCTGTTAATACCCTCAGGGAATAAAAACTCCACCAGCATTGGCACCGACCAGTGGTTGTAAATAAACTCATCATCGATACCAGGATTGAAATTTTGTATTTGATTTGATGCGTTTTTTGTGTGTACCAACTTTGTGGATTGTGTCTAATGGATATTTGATTTCATGGGTTAGCTTACAACCTATAAAAATATATATTTCGTTTTAAATCTAAACTTGCAGTTTACATTAACCCACGAATTTGATAAAAATTGGTACCCAACAAATAAAAATTAATTCAAAAACATTAGTGTGTACTGCCAATGTATTAACAGCTGACTGCATAACATCTTAGAATTTTGAAAATATAGGTTTGATCTTTGTAAAAATTGTTTGAAATAATACTGATTTCAAATATTCTAATATAATTGTTTTTCCAATAATAATGTGTTATCGCTGTTTTGTGAATTTTTCCTTTGATTTTTTTTTTTTTTTTTTTGTGATAATTTTTTATATTATGCTTCATTGACTTGTTTTTTTTTAAAATTATTTGAAATAGAAAATTCTCGCTAGAAACTAAGGACGCAATTGCTGCTGTCAATGTAAACACCAAAGACATTGTAGGCAAAATAACGATGAACATATTATCAAAGGTCTTTTGAACTCGCAGATGCTTCTCTGCCACATCTAATCTTAGGGATGATGCCCTTTGATGAGATTGAAAATGGAAAAAAACCCTCTGGTTTGAAAAACCATTTATAATATTCAATTACAAATAGATTTTAACTTCAAATGAATTAGACTAGACTTGAAATAACAAGAATAAAATTTCGATTTGAAATCAGTTTCTTCACGACAATAATTTATTAATCTTACATAGTGTCCATATATTGAATGCAAGTGTAACAACCACATACTCCCCTGGTTCTAACATAGCTCTACATCCAACAGAACTCTGAAGTTGTCGTTCACTACTGGTCACCAAAGGTCCAAAGGCTTGAGTCGAGCTAGAGGAGTCCCTGAGTATCAGTACAATTAGATCAGCTGTTGACTGTAGACCATTACTGTTTCCTCTGTTAATAAAATTAAGATAGTAAGTCCTGTTAAACTGCGTAAAAATTAGAGTATACTTTTAAAATAACATTAAAACATGAAAATATAATGAAACAGATATTAATTTATTTTTTTCCATTAAAATACAATTGCTTAAAACATTTATCTGAATCCTAAATAAATGTTAGAGAAATGTAAAAACACTGAATACTGTAAATACAGAAATTATAGCCATATTTTTATTAATGAGAAAATTGCAAATGGGTAGGTATTCAATAATTAGAACTCACATTCTCACATCTGATTATTGAAGCTGTATGCAGCTTTTACTGAGATTGCAAAAGTTAATCTCGAACTTTTGTTCACGCTCCAAAAATAGCAAAATTAAATGTATGCAATGATTTCTAAATTTACAGTATTCATCAATCCAAGAGTATATTTAACAATCTGGTTTAATAAGAGATCCGATTACCTAGCCTTGCTTTCAATGATCTGACAATGCTTTGTTCTACTTTCTGTTTAATGACCTTACAGGATCCTGTGTTTTTTGTCGGATTAATACACGCCTGCAAATTTATTGTCTTGTGTGATAATTACCAGATCAGAAAGCAAAAGGGAGCGTTTTTGGTACCTTGTAGCCAAATTTTGGACACATGATCTGTATTTTAATCAGGTTGTATATATAAAAAAAAACTTACGTTACATCTTCCTGGAAGACACCTACGTCCACTTCCGACGTATAAAATATAGTTAATTTAACCATCTTAAAGTCCTCTCGAGCATTTACAGGGAATGTTCCATCAACCTTCGTCTCTCTCCAGTGAGATCTAGCTTTACAGATATTTACACTGTCGGAATATCTATAACAACAAAATTTAAATTTCTTATTGTCATGACAAAAAAGTAAATTAAGATACACAACTACATTATTCTCTAATACTTCTAAATAGATGAAGCCAAAAATGCCTTTGCCAAATAATGTAGACTGGCAAGGGAAGTTCATATGACTAATCCAAATGGCATTTATAAATCATCTTGATAGACTGTCAGTATATAAGTTCACTGTTTATAATAATCATGTTCATGCTTTACTGTTCCTCATGTGTAATGTACTTCCCTACACCAAAACTATGCTATAATCAATTGCTTCAAGTCTAAACCTCCTGATTGCACCTGTGCTAGTTCCCAATTCACATATAATTCGGTTGGCCACGTTATTACCGGTGACTCAACATTGTCAATAACAATTCCCTGCGAAATTTGTTATCGAAAGGTCCAAAATATCGTGAGCCTCAATCCATTAATTGGAAATACAGCATCAAAATACTGATGGATTCAGTCGATGATTATGCCAGGTAATGAGTTAAACGCGAGAAAGAAGACGTAGATACTCTTTCCGAATGGATTAAGGCTGAGAGGTCGTTGATACAAATCAGAATTAAGAAACTGAATGGGTCTATCAATACCAATGCTACGTCAATCTTTAAAGACCCAGATGTTGCAAAACACTTGTCCTACCTCCATGAGAAATATGTTGTTGTCCCCGCAGATAAAGTACCAAAGCAACATCGTTTTTGTGTAAATATCATAACATAAACTGCTAGATAAATGAATTAGGTATTGACAATTAACTTGGAAACTCAACATATACCCTCACGACACTTCCCATAGAGGAAATCCTGAATAATCATAGGTCTGTTTTATGTTCCTTTGGAATTTCAACCAAATATGAAGAACTGGATCTTCCATCACTGTATTGGATACCTAAATTACACAATTTCCTTACAAACAACGATATATTGCTGGGTCTTCCAAGTGCTCCACGAAACCTCTTTCTACATTATTAACATCTATGTTATCAGCAATCAAAGCCGGGCTTCAAAGTTATTGTGAAACTGCCTATTCTAGAGGTGGCGTGAATCAGATGTGGATACTAAAACATTCCAAAGTACAATCTAAGACTCTTTCATCTTGCAATAATATTAAAACTTTTGACTTTTCTAGACTTTACACAAGTATTGCCCATTCCAAACTAAAAAAGAAATTGGAAGAGTTGGTATTTTTGTTTCATAAAAAAGGATGGCCAACGTTGATACAAGTATCTTGTCTTAGGGAGGGATAAATCCTACTTTGTAAACAATCACTCTGATTCAAACAAAAAATTCTCTGAAACTGACATTATCAAGATGCTTGATTTCTTGATTGACAACATATTTGCAACGTGTGGATGACGTGTTGTTCAACAAACTGTCGGCATTCCAATGGGAACCAATTGTGCCCCTATTCTTGCCGACTTGTTCCATTATTATTATGAGGCTGACTTGATACAGAAACTTCTTAGGAAGAAAGATAAGAAGTTAGCAATATCCTTTAACTTTACTTTCCGCTGTATAGGTGATGTTCTCTCATTAAATAACTCAAAATTTGGTGACTATGCTGAACGCATCTATCCCATCAAACTAGAGATAAATGATACAACAGAGTCTGCCTCATATCTTGACTTACATCTAGAAATTGACAATGAGTGCAGGTTGAAAACAAAACTTTACGACAAAAGAGATGATTTCAGCTTCCCAATTGTGAACTTTCAATTTCTATGTAGCAACATTCCTGCAGCGCCTGCATACGGAGTATATATTACTGAAAACTTACTACACCAGGGTTTTCAATATCACAAACTAGTCAAAACATTTACTAAATTTTATCATCGGTACAAGGACATCATTCGTAAATATAAATCAGCATGCAGACATCTTATACATTCAGGTATTTCACATCCAATATTTTATGGTAATATTCTTTACAAAGCACAAAAATGTCGGCATTCACCTCAAGAGCTAACGAAACCTTTAAACAGACTTATTCGGAAAGGATATAGTTACGATACTGTTGTCAAGTCATTAAGGATTGCATATTTTGGTATTAATATTGATTCACTCAGGGTCTTTGCATCGGAAATAAACACATTTATTCTAAAACCAGTTATTGGCATGATACGGGTTATGTTCTTCTCATATATTTTATGATGGTATGATACTAAACCCCTAACAGGAGGGATTGTAATTGATTTTCATATGATGAAGACCTAATCTTTCAATCAGTTTAATTGAAGTTTGGAGCTGGCATGTCAGTAACTGCTAGTAGTCCTTTGTTCATTTATGTATCATTGTCATTTTGCTTAGTTTCTTTTGTTACCTATTCTGACATCGGACTCGGACTTCTTTTAAACTGAGTTTTACTGTGCGTATTGCTATGTGTTTCTTCTTTCTACATTGACTAGAGGTATAGGGGAGGGTTGAGATCTCACAAAACATGTTTAACCCCGCCGCATTTTTGCGCCTGTCCCAGGTCAGG